AAAGAAGCAAGTACTCCACATGTTATTCTTGGAAAATGCATTTTGATGGTGCATAAATGCATATGACATGGCATTGGGGCAATAGTAATCTCCCCTGAAGGAATCATTACCCATTCACTAGCAGACTAAATTTGATTGCACTAACAACATGACAGAGTATGAGCTTGTGTTTTGGGGAATCGAGCTGCTATTGGACAAAATATAAGACCTTACGATATATAGATTCAAATTTAGTGATCTATCAGCTCTGTAGAGAATGAGAAACGAAGGATGTAAAGCTGGTGGAAACTAAATTAGATATACTCGAAGAATTTGACGAATTCTCTTTCATTACGTACCAGAGAAGAAACCAAAATGGCCTATGCTTAGCTACCTTGGTAGTCACATTTAAGGTTAGCGATGAGTCTGATATTATGGCAATTGACATGAAGTCGTATGAGTACCCGACTCATTGTTACCAAACTGAGGAAGTAAAAAGACATTAAGCCCTGGTATCATGACATTCTGTAATACATCAAAACTGAAGTTATCCAGAAGAAGCCACCGAAACCGACAAATAACTATTAGAAGGATGGTGGTTGAATATGTTCTGATTGAGAAGTTTTGTACAAGAAAAGCCATGATCATATCTTGTTGATATGTGTAGATGCAAAAGTGGCAAAAATGATATTAGAAGAGGTACATAATAGAGTTTTCGGAATGCATGTGAATGGACATATGATGTCAAGGCAAATTATGAGATGCAAATATTTATGGTCCACATTGGAAAGAGACTGCATCAATTATGCTAGAAGATGTCCAAAAGTCAAATTTATAGGGATAAAATCAAGTTCCACCTCAACCTCTTCATGTGATGACCGCACCATGGTCATTCTCTATGTGGGGTATGGATGTTATCAGGAAATTTCATTTGAAGACTTTAAATGGCCATCATTTCATTATTGTGGCAATTGACTATTTCACGAAATGGGTAGAGGCTACATCATATGCCAGTGTTACTCATCCATTGTTTGTAAATTCCCGAAGAAAGAGATCATATGTCGGTATGGTTTACCTGAAAGAATCATTACCGATAATACCACGAACCTGAACAATAAGATGATGGACGCTGCGTGTGAACAATTTAACATAAACATCATAATTCTACTGTTTATAGACCAAAGATGACTGGAGTGGTAGAAGCAGCAAACAAAAACATCAAGAAAATAGTGGAGAAAACAACTAGATATACAAGGATTGACACGAGAAATTACCTTTTGCTATTTTTGCTTACCGAACCTAGGTACGAACTTCGACTGGGGCAACCCCGTTCTCATTAGCATATGGGATGGAAGCAATACTGCCTATAAGGTAGAGATTCCATCAATCCGAGTCCTATCAGAAGTTAAACTAGATGATGCATATTGGATCCAAACTCGATATGATTAGTTGAACCTAATAGAGGAATCGACTCCCATAATAGATTATGTTAAATTCGGTGATACCTTTATATTGGACGAAAAGTGTGTCTTTTACTCTTTGCCCTATTCCCGTTACATGCTATAGGCAAAGAGGGGCAGCTGTAGACATATTTTTTTTGTCCGAGTTTGTGTATTCGTATATCCTATTATATATTACATTGTATATTTATAGTATAACATACATATATTATATAGTACCTTAATATATATATTACTATTATTATTTTAACAAATTAATATTTTTCCTTTGTTTTGTTAGGTATAACCTAACCCGAAAGACGGTCGCGACAAACAGTTAAGTGGTCTATTGATAAAATTTGAAATGGTGGCCATATCGACATTAACCTCATAGTTAGGTGGGCATCCAAGTAGTTTACCCTAAAAGATATCATGGGTTTGTAGCTCATATGGTATGACTTATTTGAAACCAATTAAAGAGTTAAATGGTCATGTTGATAAAATTTTGAAAATGATGGTCACATCAACACTAACCTTACATTTAGGTAGACATTCAAGTAGTTTTCCCTAAAAGATATCATGGGTGCGTAGTTGATAGTATATAGAGTGCTTGTTTTGCATGCGAGAGCCTCTGGTTTTTGATTCACCACACCTTCTCTTATTCTTTTTTAATGAGTAAATATATACATGGTCTCTTATGTTTTTGGTCTAATTGATTTTGGTTATCAGTTAAAAAGAATAATTTTGGTTCATTGGTTTAAAAAAGAGTGATTTTAGTCCCTTATGTTATCAGTCCGTTCGATTTTAATCTTTCAAACGTTAACCCTTTAACGAAAGTGTTATGTGATAATTTAAAAATTAAAAAAATACACGCTTCTTCTTCTTCTTGAAAACGTGTCCCTATACTCCCTTACTGCCGGTAAACAAGTCATTCTCGTTGGAGTTCTCGGTGCTTCATCTTCCGGAGCAGTAAATCACGTATAAATTATATATTATAAAAAATTTTGCAAGCGGTTCTAAACTCCCATTATTTTCCTTGTTTTCTCAATTCCATGCAACTTAAAGCATGTTCTAGGTTTTATTGAAAAGGTAGAGGAATATGTGATGTTGCAGTTAATGACTCATATGTGATGAAGACATGGACAAGTTGTACAAAGATGGTTATCGAGTGGGAGCCTGATTCTCTTGATGAAGCTTTAAGATACAGCAGACATTCTTAAGTGAATTCTAGAACGAAACTGAAAAGAGCTTAGTAAACGTGGAGATGTTGTTTACAGATATTGAGGCAAGCTCAAACTTATGAACCATTTTGTTCGTTTTATGACTAATTTTAAGCTCAAGTTCATCATTCTTTCAAGTAGGAAACTACAACTAAATGGAGATGTGGGGTAATTACTAATTACTATCATCTAAACTACATTCCCTATTGTATGTAAGTGCATGTGAGGGGGAAAATTATCGTTTAGAGCTGTCAGAACATTCTAAGTATCTGGAACCTTTAGGTTTATAGTAAACAAAAAACAAACTACAATGACAAGAGATAGAACAACCAAAGAAATGTTGAGATGACAAATAATGATGTTAATTTTGTGGTTAGTAATACTCGATCATGACACATGAAAAGTTGTCTCAACAGCTGCGAAGCAGTTGTTCTTTAGGCTTAGGAATTTAGATAAGTGTTAATTGCTTAGGCATGCAAATGCTTGAAAAATACCTAGCAAGTGGCTGCATGCTTTCCCATGTTGGGAATTCGTATTTACTGGATAATCATAATATCCAACACTATGAATAATTCATAATATCACAATGTGCTTTCCCAATGGATAATGCATAATATTCAGCACCATGCTTTCCCATGGTGGGAATTCGTGTTTGCATGCTTTTTTCAGTGATCGATTCGTTGGTGGGAGGAAAAAGAAGAAGACACATGAATTATCTTTTACTTTTTAGTTGTCAACTCAGGTTTCCGTTAACGAGTTAACGGGAGTTAATGATTAAGAGACTAAAATCAAACGGATCAATAATGTGAGAGATCAAACGCACTTAAGTTTTAAATCAATGACCAAATCAGTCAGACAGAAATAAAGGGAACTATTTGTATAATACGTAAGCATTTATTAAACTCCTCATTGAAACTCTTTTGACAACAAAGTATAAGTTTGGTTTACTCTTATTGATTTATAGTATATACAATCGTCAACTAAATTTATATCAAAACCGATGAGATAATCACTTATTGACATTTATAACACCATTAACGAGATGCTTACTTGAATTCAGAGATCGATTAACTCAACAAGCCTTCTATCACATTTCTTATCTACTTAGAGTGTTTATCCATTCAATTAATTTATCTTGATGGATTTGTTAACCACACTATTTTATGTGAGATCGATACCTCACACACGAGAGTGTATCCACTTTATTACTTGAAGCGATAATGGAAGCTTACACTTGTCGGTACACACATCAATACCTAACTGTACGTACCAAAAAAATTAGATATGTATAAATATAAGTTAAGTATATATTTAATCAAAAAGAAACTTTTTCAACAAACAAATTTTAAATAGTTGAATTTATTTATAAACATAATGAGAATAAGGCATTGGCTTATGGGAGGTTAACACTTATTTAAATTTTAATATGTATATATAAATATATATCATGTGTGAATTTTCATTGAAGATTTTATCTTAATTTTAAATTTATTATGTGAGTGTGTTCAGATACTTTTAATTATTAGTTTTAATTATTAATGTGTATTTGTATAATTCTCTTATTCATTCATTTTAAGAAATAAATTATCTACATCTCGATTCGACTACCAACTAGTTGTTTTGGTCCAAATATCATTTCTTCGGCAATTGAGTTTTTAAATATTACAGAACCGAACCCTGTACTTTATCAAATATTAGAATTTCCCTCTAACGTCATTTCCCACATTCCATTTGTTGTTTCCAGTGAGATAATAACAGATTTGGTACCTATGATTTGTCAAGTTTTTTAATATAATTCCTCCGCTTCCAATTCCTTGTAAAAATATCACCTAAAGTTTCATTTAGTCCATCAATGTAGTACCTCCCTCACATGTTTTTAATGGGATGATTGAGAGATTTGACCCTTTTACTTTATCAAGCCTTTTAATTTAGTCCATACGATATAAACACACAAAAAAATATATGGGGTGGGCCATGGTATAAGGTAGGCCCAGGATAATATGGAATCAAGAATCAAACTGCTTCTTCTCCAATCTCCCATAACTGTTCCCGCTCTCCCATCTGAATATCTGATCCCCATTACCATTCTCGTTTCTTTCTCGGGCAGCCGTTGAATCTCCGTTCAAGGACCGGTGGAACACCGCCCCGGAACTGCCAACGCCGGTCACAAGGCTTCTTTCATGCAAAAACGCTGGCAAGATAATATTCCAAGAATACAGAGTTTTTGCCATTGATCTTAGTAAACGGGTGAGCAAGATAATATTCCAAGAATCTCTGAAATGGTCTCTTTAAATTGTTGTTCATAGGTTAACCAGAGTCTTTAAATTTTTGTTCATAGGTTAAGCAGAGTCTTCACTCACATATGGCTGATTTGGTTCAAAGACTATCCAAGAAAAGGAGCGTGGAAAAGGAAAAGGGTCAAAAACACATTGATCAACTTAGCAACCTACCAGACTCCATTATTTGCCACATCCTTTCCTTTCTCCCCACCAAATTGTCAGTTGCCACCAGTACCTTGTCAAAGCGATGGAAGCATTTATGGACTGCTGTTCCCGTCCTCTCCTTCAGTTCAGCTGAATTCATTGGTACATTGGGCAGCTTTGTGGATTCTATAGGTAAGTTTTTAACCAACTGTCAAGCTCAAAATGTGTACCAGTTTACCATAGACTTTAAACCTTTCTTGGAAGGATGAAGAGCATCTGGGTACATGGGTTGCTGCTGCAGTAGAAAGGAATGTTCAAGAGCTGAAACTCAGCCTCAATTTTTCACATGTACCAACGGTTAGACTGCCTGGTCGTTTATTTGCTTGCAGAACACTCGTATCTCTCAAGCTGATTGATAATATTTTCATCGATCTCCCTGAAAATGTTTGTTTACAAAATCTAAGGACTCTGCAACTGGAGCGATTACACTACGCAAATGAAGGGTCTTTCAACATCCTACTTTCTGGTTGTCCAGTTCTTGAGGACTTGGTTGTTGAGAGGATTTGGATGATGGGATTCTTGATATGGTCATCAATGTTGCTTCATTGAAGAGACTGAATCTGAAGAATTATGAAGCTAATGATCACGGTTTACTGATCAGCGCTCCGCTCTTGGAAAGGATAGAGCTGTCGCAGAAGAATTTTAATGTTTTGAATTTTCAGATAGATTCTTCCAGCTTGGTGGAAGCAATCATAGATATCCATGTAACATGTGAGCCCATTGAAGCGTTCGCTAATCTTGAATTTCTTTCTTTATCAGAATGCCTTATTTAGTATGGCGTTTCATGAGTTCCATAATCTGGTATGCCTGGAAACTACAACAAGCTGTGCAAATTGGGATGATCTGGAAGAGTTGCTTCACGGCTCAAACAATCTCAAGACTTTGGTATATCACATTGAAGTACCAATACTCCACAGGGGTCACAACTGTGATAAGTCATTTTCGAAGACTGTTCCGGTGTGTGTGTCTGCGAGTTTGAAGGCCCTTAAACTGACGGGATTCATCAATCAAAACTGTTACTGGACATTCATTCAATATATGCTGAAGAACGCCAAATTCTTGGAGGAAGTGAAGATCAGGACTTCCTCGATGTTGAAGAAACGACGCAGGCATATTAGAAACATGTTGAACTGCCCTAGGGCCTCAACAGAATGCCAGATTCGTTTTTTTCTTGGACTCGACAGACGAAGAATATCGGTTCTGATTGAAGTTCTCTGCATTCTGGTTTTGTAAATGTAGTTGCTTGTGAATATTGCTTGTTTGAGTGTTGAACACTGAATGAACTGAACAGGTACATTTGATAATAGTAGTCCCTGACTCCCTGCTAATCTACAAAGTTGCTTGTTTGCGAATATTATCTCTTTTCCATAATCTGAACAGGTACAAAGTTGTTTTTTTGATGAGTCAACTCCTTCGCTAATTAATGCTGCAAATACCTTTTCTTTCTGTTTTTTAACTTGTTCCTTTTTCTTTTACATCCATGTAGTTTATGTTTTGTAATAATCAAAACTAACAACAAACGGGATATATAGAAAAATCCAATGAAAAATATAACCAATGAAGGAACGAATATCACCTCTTGTGCTGCTATGTTTGGTATAATGTTTATTTCCATGATTTTAGACAACTTTAATTCAAGGAGCTTTCTATTATGATATCAGATAAGAGGATAAGGAGATTGGGACAATAGTCATAATTAATTTTAAATATACGAGTAATTTTTATGTAAAATATATAAATTAAAATTTATATAATCATAATTATTTGAAATATAAATCTTTAATCTTAAACTCTAAGTCTTAACTAATAGACTGTGTATAAAATTTCCCTAAATATATTTATCAATATTTATTTATAAATCTTCCATGAAACTTTTTATTTATTGATTGATAAGTGACATTTTATGATTTCCGAAATATATAAGACTTACTATCAACAATACACTAAATATGATCTCTAAAAATAAAATGAAAAAAAAAACCCAACAAATTAAGTAATGTTTGAAATTGTTGATATAACATAGGTGATTATGTCAGTTAATGACAATACATCTCTTTTAATTTTGGTGGAAAGTCGTAAACAATAATTTATCGATAATTAGGGATGGCAAAAAAAACCCGAACCCGACGGGGAAAACCGAAAACCGAATTAAACGGGTCGGGTTCGGGGATGATAAACGGGGATGGGGACGGGGAAAACCCATTTATTTTAAACGGGACGGGGACTGGGACGGGTTTGGTAATCCCCGCCCCGATTACCCGCCCCGATACCCGACCCGATAATATTAAAATAATTATATATATATATATATATATATATATATATATATAATATATAAATTTAATTTAATAAAAATATATATTTATATATTTAATTTAAATATATATATATACCCGGCCCGATTCCCGGCCCAATACCCAACCCAATACCCGGCCCAATACCCGTTTAAATAACCGTTTATGCTAAACGGGGATACCCGTTTCCCCGCGGTTTTCCCCGATTACCCGACGGGGATCTCCGTTTAAATCCCCGCGGTTTTTTAAACGGGGACGGGTACCGGTTTTTTAAACGGGGACGGGGACGGGGGACCAATACCCGGCCCGAACCCGGCCCGTTGCCATCCCTATCGATAATCAATCAGCTTTTTACGATAGAGCAACAAGATAAGGTCACATATTTACACCGGTGTAAAGTGTTACAATTAACACATACTCACACCTTAAATAAACAAATGGTCCCCTAACTATAGGATACTACTTTGGTGAGTCATTGGCTATTAAAAGTTATAAAATGGTCCCTCGACTATAAGACGTTGTTTTGTTGAGTCATTCGACTATTAAAAGTAACAAAATGGTCATCCAACTATTCATTATGTTCCAAACTCGTCATTTTCTATTAAAAAATTAACGATAATCTGAGTTGGATGTTAAACTGCTGACTGAGATATGATAAAACTTTATCTCAAAATCTCAAACGACTATCATATCTCAGTCGGCAAGTTAATTTCCAACGGAGATGACCGTTAATGTTTCAACAAAAAGGATGAGTTTAGAACATAATGAATAGTCAGGTGATCATTTTGTACTTTTAATATTTGAGGGACTCAACAAAGCAACTCCCTATAATCGGACTACCATTTTATAACTTTTAATAGTCGAGGGACTCAACAAAGAAACTCCCTATAGAACATAGGTGATTGTGTCAGTTGATGACAATACATCTCTTTTAATTTTGGTGGAAAGTCGTAGTTGATAATTTATCGATAGGATGATGCTGGCACGCTCGACGAGCGTTCATGAGTACGGTAAACGATGAGCACCATTAAATTAAATTATAAAAGCTTTAAATCGTAAAGTACTAAACGTATAATTATAAATTAGTTAAAATCTAAATGTAATTTACTTAAAATATAATATTTATAAAACATTATTTTTAGGGTAAATTATTCCATTGACCATCAAACTATCTATCCTTTTTACTTTAACCATTGATTTTTCAATTTTATCAATCGGGTGACCTAACTATTTAAATCTTGTCAATCAAGTCACTTGCCGTTAAATATTAACGGAGGAGATGATGTGTACATGTGGCAGTTAATAAAATTTATATAATTATACATTTAGTCTTCATTACTTACACTTTCTATTAATTTGGTCCTAACTTTTATTTGATTAAATAAATTTAATCTTCAATTCGATGGTGACATGTGTCATTGTGTAATTGGATTTTTTAATATTTTTTTATTTAATAAATTTTCCATTCAATCAAGTAGTTCCATGTGTTGACCAATTGAATGAATGGAAAATAAATTAAATCAGTAACCATTATTGGTGGGATTTGAACTTGAGACACAAGTTGAAAAACTAAGTGTCTTAACCACTAAGCTAGACCACTAAATTTGTCTAGTATACAAAACATAAATTTATAATAAAGTGAATGGTAATAAATGACCTTATAAAGACTCAAACATGAAATAATTGAATAGTTTATAAAGTTAATGGTGATCATTTTGTACTTTTAATATTTGAGGGACTCAATAAAGCAACTCCCTATAGTTGGGCTACCATTTTATAACTTTTAATAGTCGATGGACTCAACAAAGAAACTCCATATAGAACATAGGTGATTGTGTCAGTTGATGACAATACAATCTCTTTTAATTTTTGTGGAAAGTCGTAGGCGATAATTTATCTATAATCAGACGGCTTTTCATGGTAGAGCAACAACATGTTAAGGTCACATACTTACACTGGTGTAAAGGGTTACAATTAACACATACTTACACCGGTGTAAAGTGTTACAGACATTGATTTAAATTTATTTTATGGTAAAGTACACAAATGGTCCCCTAATTATAGATACTACTTTGATGAGTCCTTGACTATTAAAAGTCATAAAATGGTCCATCGACTATAGGAAATTGCTTTGTTGAGTCATTCGGCTATTAAAAGTTACAAAATGGTCACCCGACTATTCATTATGTCTAAACTCGTCATTTTCTGTTAAAAATTAACAACAGTCTAAGCTGTATGTTAACCTGCTGACGAGATATGATAAAACTTCATCTCAAAATCTCAAACAACTATCATATCTTAGCAATTATCACATACTTACACTGGTGTATGTACATCTCTCAATATCTTAGCAATTAACATATACTTGCACCGGTGTAAGTATGTACATTTCACAATACCTTAGCAATTAACACATACTTACACTGGTGTAAGTATGTACATCTCTCAATATCGTAGCAATTAACACATATTTATACTGGTGTAAGTATGTACATCTCTCAATATCTTAGTACCTAGAAATAAACACATAATTTTATTGGTGTAAGTATGTTTCTATATTTTAAAAAAAAAAAAATATATTAAGTTATTTGTGTATAAATTTTATTGAATATATATATATATATATTAGAGAATATAAAATTATATTTTCTATGAAATTCTGTGTAAATATTTTGAATTTAATATTAAAAAACTTAAAAAAGAAAATATATCTCAAGTACACCTTGGTAAAACATACATTTTTATTATCTTATATTCCTTCAAACAAACATTATAATCTTACATTGTTGCCAAACAAATCAAACAAAGTAATATAACATTCTCATTCATATGTTAAGTAATGTAACATTCCAATAATCTTATTTCTAATAGTAATCTTATATTTTGTGAACCAAATTATGATGACTACTCATAGGGATGAACTAGAGGGTCTGTTGCCAGGGTCAGTCCCCTGCAAATTTCAAATGTTCATATATTTTAAATATTTTCTATTGATAATTTATTTTCGTTCCCTAACATAAAATCTTGTGTTCGTCCCTAATTACTCTTAAGTTGACATGATATACAAATCTTGTTGTTTTGGTCGGTTGTTAATCAACTTTAATTCTATCAAATCAAGTAGGGTATGCTAGAAATTATGTCAAAAGATTACGATTTTTTTAGGAATACAATACGCCAGGTCCATTACATCTTATGTTGAGATGTTCTTCCGTGGAGACTTTCTTCTGAAAACACAATCCAGATGTGTTAACGTGCAGAGTGAAGGAGCTTTGTAAGGGGTATAATCATAGTAAAAAATCAACAAAGAATATGTGTATTAAGTGATGCACCGAGACACCGACAATAAACAAAATTATTTTTAAAAAAAACGAATACGTACTTACACCGATGTAAAGTGTTGTATACATTGATATAAATTTATTTTAGGGTAAAGTATGCAAATGGTACCCTAACTATAGGAGACTATTTTTATGAGTCTCATGACTATTAAAAGTTATAAAATGATCCTTCGACTATAGGAAGTTGCTTTGTTGAGTCATTCGACAATTAAAATTTACAAAATAGTCACCCAACTATTCATTATGTTCCAAACTTGTACTTTTCTGTTAAAAAATTAACAACAATCTGAGTTGGATGTTAAACTGTTGACTGAGATATGATAAAACTTGATCTCAAAATCTCAAACGACCATCGTATCTTAGTCAGCATGTTAATTTCCAACTCAGACATCGTTAATGTTTCAACAAAAAATGATGAGTTTAGAACATAATGAATAACCGGGTGATCTTTTTGTAACTTTTAATATTTGAGGGACTCAACAAATCAACTCCTTATAGTCGAGTGACTATTTTATAACTTTTAATAGTCGTAAGACTCAACAAAGCAGTATCATATGGTCAGTGGACCATTTATGTAATTTACCCTTTATTTTATTTCTTT